ATACTCGTGTATGAAAGATAAAAATATACAACGCAATAAAAGAGACTATCCGCAAGTGGCATCAGGTCAATGTTGCCATATGTCGCGGACGCAATTTTCCCCGAGGTCAAAGAACCTTTTAATTTTACTGAGACTTTTTTATTTTTTATTTTTTGCTTGCGGAGAAATTCTTATGGGTTCTTACTCGCGCTCTTGCTTGGAAAATGAGGATATTAAGATGGTAGATATAGCATGGATTTTAATTGCAAGAAAGACTGAAAGGCGTGGTTGTGTGATGGCTAGAAAAATAAATGTATGTAAATAGATAGATAAAAAAAATAATGATAACTAAAAATCAAAGACGAAAACGGAAAGAAATAGGTACATAGATTGACCAAGACAAACGAAATGAAAATGAGAATGGAAAATAGATGAATAGATGAATAAAATGAAATGCAAAATAATGATGATGATAAAGTATAATAAACAACAACAACAACAACAACAACAAAAACAATAATAATAAAATAATAATAATAATAATAATAATATAATAATAATAATAATAATAAAAAAATAATAACAATAATAACAATAATAACAATTCAGACGAAAACGAAAACAAATAGGTACATAGACTGATCAAGACAAACAAAATGAAAGAGAATGAAAAGAAAGAGCATAAAACCTGGAAAATGAAACACAAATAAAAGTAAGAATGAAAAGCACAATCCCACATTTTGAGTTGCAATAACCCTAAAACCGACTTAAAACCCAAATGGCGAACCTGCAGAAGTCAGCTTTAAATCTACAATTTTTCTCTTGGTCTAATGAGGTCGGCCGCTCATATACGACATATGTGTTATGATATCCATTTATTTTATATTTTGCTTCCCTTTTATTATATATGTATGGTATATTTTCTATGTCTGAATTCACTATTCATATTTCTTTTTTCTCCCATTCAGCTGTTGGTTTCATATTATCCGCTAATACTATTGTAAATTAGTGTTACGAATTCGGTATATACCTCAATTTGCATTTTTATTTTATTGATATTATTATTATTATTTTTTTTTTGGGGGGGGGGTCGTATCCACGCTGTTTAATTTTACTTTGCTCATCCGCTCTATTTAATTCTCTTAAGATTATTATTTGGCAATCAACCTCTTTTAGGTATCTTATATTTCCCACTTCTTGCAAAACCGTTTCGTTAGTTTTTTTTTTTGTTTTTTTCATTTATTATCCTCCATTCCCTTCCTTCCTCCCATGGGACTGAACATTCCCTGTCTTATCAGAATTTGCCTTTCCTTCTCTTTCCATACAAGGCTACCACTGTCACCTCCCAAAAGACCCTCTTATTCTTTTCTCTTCTTTTCTGTCGTTCTCTCTAAAATTACCTGGGTGTAGTAGTGCCCAGCAAGATCCACAGGATACATGTATTCTATGGATCCTGGTGCTCCTTTCTGTTCAAGTTCAGTCGGTCACTAAACCACCGGTTACACAGAGAAAGGAGCCTACAGCTAAGTCCTGCTCTTGTCCAATTCTGATATCAAGTATATGTATTTTTTTATGCATGACGTAGGCATACTTTTTTACTTTTTATTTTCTTATGCGACACAGACCATTTTCTAAGGGAAAGGCTAGATCAGTAGCAACTGGGTGAGGTGTCTGATTCTATTTTGGAAAAAAAGCACATGGGGTTTACTTTGATGACGTCACAAATGTCACGGATGCTTCGTGAATGTGGTCGATCATTTTGGTCTCTTCAGTTTTCAAATAGAGCACAATAAGAAATGAAATTAAATTCTCTTTCTGTACGTGTTACTTGTGTTTATATTTGTGTTCTAAACTTCTGTTGTTGTGGCTTCGAAACGGGGAAGGTTGGATCAGTAACAACTGGAGATGTCATGGCGTCCCTCAGGGCTATTTTGATTGTTTAACGAAAATATAACCATTAAAATCATTATTTTCCATCCTTTTGGAAAAGGAGAGATCATATAATTGACCATATTCGCAAAGCATCCGTAGCTCCTGTGACGTCATCAAATAAACTCTTGTGCTTTTTCAAAAATAGAATCAGACGCATGACACCTCCTCGAGTTGCTACCGATCTGGCCCTTCCCGCTTGGAAACTCATTCAAATATATTCGAAAACTATATTTCAATAAATCTTGATTTTAGAACTGACAGGAAACTAGACAAAGCAAGGCTTTAATGTAAACTTCTGAAATATTAACTCGACGCCGCCATTCATGTAAATTAAGTTAGGCTCGAAATTAGGAATAGGTTAAATATTGTTTCTTTTAGCTACTGCATGTAAACGGCGATGGAGAGAAAAATATATTGTCTACGTTATATGAAGATTCGTAATGCCACCTACGTATACAGGCTATGTTGCCAAAAAAAAAGAAAAAAGAAAAAAAGATTAATATGCTTAATGTATAACCCCGTTTGCTCACTTTGACTCATTACTTTATTACCTTAATTAATACACACACTTCGCGGAAAATAAGCAAAG